CAGACAGCAAGGCACCTTTTCATAATTTGAGAAACAATCTGCTCCTCCCATCATGATTCGCAGCTAGGCACTGATCCCGGAGAAGACACTTTTGGTGAGTTTACATTTTTTCATCATGCTACAAGCGGATTAAGGAAATTGGGTGTGATCTATGATGGCTACTGTGCCTGCACAGTGTGAGGGGGGTGTCCCAGACCAGCCAGACAGCAAGGCACCTTTTCATAATTTGAGAAACAATCTGCTCCTCCCATCATGATTCGCAGCTAGGCACTGATCCCGGAGAAGACACTTTTGGTGAGTTTACATTTTTTCATCATGCTACAAGCGGATTAAGGAAATTGGGTGTGATCTATGATGGCTACTGTGCCTGCACAGTGTGAGGGGGGTGTCCCAGACCAGCTTGTTAATGTGTCTGGAGATGGAAGTGTGAGTCCTCCCTGCACAACTCCATAAAGCTCTCATAGAGGAACTCTGTAATCCTTCTCAAGGTTTCTGGGGAGGCCTACCTTATGTCCCAGACCAGCTTGTTAATGTGTCTGGAGATGGAAGTGTGAGTCCTCCCTGCACAACTCCATAAAGCTCTCATAGAGGAACTCTGTAATCCTTCTCAAGGTTTCTGGGGAGGCCTACCTTATTATGTTTGCCACTTTCCATGTCAAGCCAGCAGTAAGTGGTCTGGCATCATTGCAGCACAGAGCATTGCAGCATAAGGTCCAGGTTTCTGGCCAGTCAGTCATCTTCTACTCCCGATCAGTATGATTCAGAGAAAATTGATATCTCGTATGTTAATCTGGGTGAGGTAGGGGAAGCTAATTGCTGGCATGTCTGCACTAAATCTCTGTTTGCTCAGGAAACATGGCTTCAGTCCCTGCTCTGCTGCCATGCCCAGTCCTCCTCCCCCTCCCACCTTCATGGTCCTCTGGGAAGCGAAAGTTGTGCACTCCTGCCAACTGTAGGGTGGGAGGTTGCTGAACACACAGGTGCCGTGTGAGCCTCTTATCTACCCTGCTGCCCCACCCAGACCCGCTTCCCCTACGTTCTCAAGCCCCGGCCTGTCCCTTATCATATGTGCCACCAAACCGAGTCCAGCTGCTCCCCTAAGCTACTAACAG